TGTGTGTGTGTGTGTCCGTGTATATGTGTGTGTGTGTGTGTGCGAGTGTGTGTGTGTGTGTATGTGTGTGTGTGTGAGTGTGTAAGTTGGCTTACATAATAAGAATAATATTTTGTGCGGTGGCCTGGAAAAACTACAACGGAAGACACAGAGTTATGAGCCAAGATTCAGCCTGAAAACTATAAGATACCAGCTTTTTGTACAATTTGAAGACATATCAACTTCATATCTTGCATCATCTTTTTTTCTGTCGGAAGACTGTACTAACAATGTCTATTAATTTTACTAGCTGTATTTCTTAAGCTATTTTTCTTCTGAAACATCGTTCTCAACATTCGTGACCAGAATAGAGACAGGGACGTTTAACAAAAATAATGACACAGCAAAGTGGTCAATGAAAACTAAGTACCGATACTGCGAGTCAAGTATTTCTACAAAAATACCAGCAAAATAACTTAAAACGGTATGTACATTTTAAATCTAAATGCAAACTAAAAAGCTTCTCTTCTACATCATGCACTCTGTTTATAATTTATGAACTCGGCGAAAATGTGTAACTGACCAAACACTTGCAAGTTCTGGTTAGTATTCCGTCTTTATAAAAGACAGAAGATCAACTGTCTGTTGAATCATTCTACATTTTCAGTTTTGCAAGATTTATCCCATAAATGTATTAATGTTTAAAAGATAATTGCGTCCCTGTTATTGTCTTTTTCGCAACGTTGCGCTTTTGAAATTTTTTAAAGATGTGAAATCTGGTATAAGGGGGCGATGCATGTGACAGAGTCAGTAACAGATGTTTGAAAAATGACATGCTCAGTTTTCCCAGGCCACCTCACATTTATAATTTATTTTAAACGACTCCACAATAAAACACAAAGATAAACACAAGTACAGCCTAGTGGGCGAACAAATACACTTTGACCTCTTCCTTGCTGTGTATACGTAATGCACTCGCTAATTGTGCTCTCCAAAACTGGTTCATTGCTTCTTTTACTCGCAAACAGGCCTTGTAGATGAAGTTTTAGAAGAGGTAACTGTTGATGGTGACGTTATTCTTGAATTAGAGGTAAGGTACCATGGCTTTGTTTTAACCTCTCTTGATTAAACAATTTAGCTTCTCTATGCAAACGCACACCGTATCGTCTCAGCAATAAAGGGGTTAAAAAGACACACCAAAATTTAACTCGAAAGGGACCTGTATTACTCGTCATGCACTTTTTTCACATTTGGGCCCTCTTCGAACCTGCAGACTTTTTTTTCTTGTATTGCTTTGAAAACAAAAGAAAGCTGTCTCCGAAAGCGCTAAATTAGTTTTGGTGAATTGACAATCCTAATGTGAGCCTACTCTTTGTTTGGTAAATCAGGTTCATTAGTGCATGTCAAAACGGGAAGGAGGAGCCATAGACTTGAAGAATATTAACCTTGACTGGGAACTATCACGGCCGCTACATTTTGCTCTTTAGTCTAAAAAAAAGTAAAACCTTTCCTGGGCTGGTGTGCTGCATGGATGAGCAAAAGAAAGGCCAAACAGAAGTTTCATTATAATTTAGTGCTCCTGCAACTTCTCCCTCTTTGTCCTTCATTTAGTTACAAAAAGAATCAAAAGCCGAGCTCGCTCCAGATTGAACCGGAATTACGTCAGGAGTGCCCAGTCTTGGTCACTACACCTTTTCCCGATCAAATATAGAGGGGAGGGAGGAAGGGAGGAAGGGAGGAAGGGAGGGAGAGGGTACGACAGGTATGCTCAAGACCATGTCGAACAACCTATTGAACTTGAAATATGTGTGTTTAATTTGAACTTACAATTGTTGAATTTGAATTGAATTGACAATGTTGAATTTGAACTCTCTATTGTTACATAATTTGATAGTGCTATTTTGATAGTTCATCTTACTAATGCTACATTTGCTCCCTCTATTTTGATAT